CAAATGGTCAAAACATACTCAGAAATCGTCCCCTGGCTATTTTTTACTATTTTAGAATTTTCCTCCTGTGGAGGGACAGGCCAGACTTAGCATGAGCGCCACGCACATTCGTTGCGAAAGCTTGCATGAGCTTTACGGGTGGAGGGCGGCTCCTGTTCAAAACCGTGGCTCTCGCTCCAGCGCCTTCGAGGATCCTCATGGCTGACGCCCCAGCCCAGAAGCGGTATTTTGGCACGATTTGCGTAGGATTGTCCGGGCGCGACACTCGCGTTGGTTCACGGTGCTGACGTCCCAGAAGCCGTGTCCTGGCCCGACTGAGGATCGTCGGATCGCAAGCCTTGCGAGGATTCCCGGCGTTGACGTCCCAGGAATGGTGCTTGAGCACGGTGGACGCTTCCCAAACGGTTGTCTTCCAACGGGGCTCTTCCCGCAGTGAAAAAACCCTATAGGAGTCCATGAAAATTGAAATTGGAGAGGGGGGGTTCTTGCAACATAGTTGATGACTCTTGGGTGTACACCAGTCCTCCTCCTCCTCCTCCTCCTCCTCCTCCTCGTCCTCCTCCTCCTCCGCCTCCACCCTCCCCTCCCCTCTCCCCTCCACCTCCTCCTCCCTCCTCCCTCTCCTCCTTCGCCTCCTCCTCCTCCTCCGCCTGCTCCTCCTTGCCCCTTCCCTCCTTCCTCGTCGTCCTCCATCACCCTCGAGGGGCACGTGAACTCCCCAATCACCCAGTTGTGGAAGCACGGCAGGCCGGCGGCGTCCGTGAACGGCACCCACGGCTCGAGCGCCTTCTGCGCCTCCTCCTGCCACGTGGCGAGCAGCGTCGACACCGCGAGGTCGCGGACTTCAGGAATGTCCTCTCCTCCCTCGTGGGTCCCCCGCCTCCTCCATCCTCCCCCCCTCCCCCTCCTCCTCCTCCTCCTCCTCCTCCTCCTCCTCCTCCTCCTCCTCCTCCTCCTCCTCCTCCTCCTCCTCCTCTTGCTCCTCCTCCTCCTCCTCCTCCACCTCCTCCTTCTCCTCTTCCTCCTTGTCGTTAACGTCGTTATCGTCGTCGTCGTCATCATGAGCAGCAGCATCATCGCCGTCGCCGCCACCACCATCATGATCATGATGATGATGATCATCATCATCACCAACAGCATCATCCACATCATCCACACCAACATCATCATCATCATCATCATCATCATCATCATCATCATCGTCGTCGTCGTCATCATCATCATCAGCAACATCATCATCATCAACATCACCATCACTGACATCATCATCCACATCATCAGAATCATCATCCTATCGTCAGCAACATCATCGTCTTCGTCATAACCGTCATCGTCATCATCATCATCACCATCATCACTACCACCACCAGCACTACAACCAGCAAACATATAAGCATCAGCATCGTCAGCATCCACATGGTCATCATCATCATCAGCAGCATCGCCATTGTCATCGTCATCGTCATCCTCATCAACGCATCGCATCACCAAGCCATCATATCACCATCATCGCCACCACCAACAGCTTCAGCATCATCAACATCCTCATCATCATTTTGATCCGCGCCGTCCTTGTCATCTTTCGCTTATCATCGGTCACGATCGTCATCGCCATCGTCATCCCCACCATCCTAGCCATAAGCATAACCGCAGTCATACCATCACCAGCATCATCAGCATCAGCACCACCATCATCGTCAGCATCATCATCGACATCATAATCATCATCGTCATCATCATCATCACAGTGAGGATCATCATCATCAGCATCATCATTACCATGATCATCTTCATCATCATCAACATAATCAGCATCAGCATCATCATCTTCACCGCCACCGATAACATCATCCGCATCAGCGTCGCCGTCGCCGCCATCGTCATCGCCTTGTCATCCCCACCATCCTAACCATAAGCATAACGGCAGTCACATCATCACCAACATCATCAGCATCAGCACCACCATCAGCATCATCATCATCAGCATCATCATCGACAGCATCATCATCGTCGTCATCATCACAGTGAGGATCATCATCATCATTGTCAGCATCATCATTACCATGATCATCGTCATCAACATCAACATACTCATCATCAGTATCATCATCTTCATCGTCAACGATAACATCATCAGCATCAGCGTCGCCGACGCGCCATCGTCATCGTCATCGTTATCATCCTGCTCCACCATCCCTCTTCCCTCGCGCCGGGCCTTCGAGTCGGAGCACATGCGGAAGACGTCCACGATCTCCTTCAGCTGCGGCGCCAGGGGGTGCGTCCAGGAGGCCCCAGAGGTCAGCACGTTGGCGAAATAGACGCGACCGTGCTGGTCCTTCCTCCTCCCCCTCCTCCTCCCTCTCCTCCTCCTCCTCCTCCTCCTCCTCCTCCTCCTCCTCCTCCTCCTCCTCCTCCTCCTCCTCCTCCTCCTCCTCCTCCCCTCTGGAGGGGGAGGACGACGGCAACGACGACGTCGAGGACACCACACCATCACCACAAC